GGGGGGGGGGAGGTAGGCACAACAAAAAAGGGCCGCGTAATAGCTTTAATGCCATTGATGTCTATCGAGCTCCTTCAATAACCGACGACTCGTTAACACAAAACTTTGGGGAGTGGGAAATAAGATTAAAAAAATATATTACCGGGAAGGTGAGGCTGCGCGGGCGCGGCGAAGACAAAAACAAAGATCAATCCTTTGCGCCCTCTCTCACACGTCGTTGATGCGCCCCGGAGTAAAACAAACGGAAAAATAATAAATGGTGATGTACAAGTGCTGGTTATACAGTGTGTGGGATAGCCTCTGCCCTGCCGCGCGCGCGCACGCCGAGATTGTTTATGAGAAGCAAGTTGTACGGACGGACACACACACACGAGGTATTAGTACACACGTGACTAATCGTCTGTTCGCACCCGCCCCGGACGCGCCACGTGGAATCTCTTGGACGCGCGTAAATTGAATGGGGTTTGTCGAGCAGCGCGGGCAGCCATGATAAATGACAGGCGTGCGACGCGAACCGGGAAGTGGCAACACTACATACACGCGTCCTGCTGCAGCCTCCCCGGCGTGAAAAGGGTTGCGAGGAAGGGGAGAGGAGGTCCTAGTATGCGCAGGGGTTGTAAGGCGGCCTTCCGAAAATCGTCTGTCGTCGTCGTCGCCTCGTTTCGAATAATGGGAAGAAGAGGAGGGAGGGGTAGAAAAAATTATTGAATGACATAAGGATGAGGCAGAGAGAGACCAGTGGGAGTGGGAGGTTTGGCCTGCGCGGGGTGGACGAACTCTTCTTGACCATGCACAAGGGAGGGAGAAGAGGCGGAGGGGATGCAAGGAACGGGGGTGGGGAAGGAAGGGGGCGAGGGCCCCCGCGCGGAACTGAAGCCAGAGCAACACCTTATATTGGCGACAGCTGCGGACTGAGCTGTGCGGGTCGTGGGAAGGAAAGAGGCAAAAGGCGGTGGGGGACGCGGCACACACACACACACACCACACCGTGCGCACCGTGCAGCATGCCGGCAGAAAATTGCGTTGTGTAAAACGGTTGCAAAGGCGGGATGTGCGCGAAAGCTCTAACGAAACCATATTCTCATACCATTTTCCATTTTCATTTTAAGCAGATTACATTTCCTTTTTTTTTAAGGCGATTGGTCGTAGAGATCATAATGACGGACGGGATGCTGACATCATGACCACGCGGTCTGGGATCTGACCTCGCACACTCTCCCCGAAAGCTGGAAACCATCTCTCTCTCTCCGCGCGACTCGGCTCCGTTTTAATTCACGTCACTTGCTCATCACGGCGAGTGGATGTCGACACGCGGCGTGGCGCTGCCCTGCCCTGCCCCCCGCGCGCCAAACACAACGACGACGCGCTCCTTCTCCTCCTTCGCGCCGCCAGACCATTTCCATCTCCCTGCCGACGACGGTGTGGTGTAGGGGGCTCCTCCCCCCCCCCTCTCTCTCTTTCTCTCTCTCTCTCTCTCTCTCTCTCTCGACTTGGGCAGAGAAGGTAATGCAGCATGGTTCCGCCCGCCGCGCCCCGCCCCGCCACGCCGCGCCCCGCGATCCTCCGGTAATTGAAGGGCCTCTCCCGCAACAGCAGTAAACAGTCGACTGGGAGGGAGAGCAGCGCGTAGCGTACAGTACCCCGTACCCGTCCGTACCCCGCTTGATGCAGACCGACGAATTAACCGCCGCTGCCCACCCCGCCGCGCCCCGCCCCGCCCCGCGCCGCCTCGCCACGCCCCACGCGGGCAGATGACGGCCGAGGTCAAGGAGGAGAGCTCCAGAGTCCGAAAGAAACTCACTCCGCCCGTCGGTCGAGTCGCACGTTCTCAATCCCTGGGCGATGTACTCTCACCTCACCCACCACACCACACCTCGCGAGCCGCGCAGAAAACGACGCGCGCAAAAGGTTGTCGCGTCCTTCGGGACAACTGGAGCAGTCGCGGAGTGGTGGTGTGTCGGCCGCCGCGGCGTGGCGGGGCGTGGTGGTCGGGGCGCTCCGGTGCAGGTCCAGGTCCACCCGATACGACCCCGGTCCAGTATAATGAGTCCCTGGAAGCGGGCCCGGGCCTGGAGCCTGGACCGGCTCGAGTGGGCCCAGCCCAGGGGGACCGGGCCGGGGCGGAGGGGGCCCGACCCTCCACCAGTCTGGAGTCCGGAGCGCCTCCAGCCTGCGAGCCTCCAGCGGGCCTCCAGCGGGCCTCCACAACAGCGCAGCGGGGCCCGGCCAGTGGAGGATCACGTCCTTGGAGGCGGCGCGGCCAGGTACGGGGCCGCGGCACCGGCGGCGGCGGGGGCGCAGGGACCGCTGCGGGGCACAGCACGGCAGCGCCGCGCGCCGCCACTGCGGTCAGGTAGAGGAGGAGGAGGGGCAGGAGGGTCGTATCGGCAGGAGGGTGTGGGGCCTCGCCTGCTGCGTCGCGCACTGTGAAAATAAAAAGGGGACGCCATCGCAACGAATATAAAGGAAAGGGACATTCTTTCGGATACAAGAGTGTTATGTGATCAATGCAAATATAAGGGAGAGAGTCCGAAAAGGGTGGCTGCTGCAACCTCTTTGTGGTTCAGTTGGTGACGCAATAACCGATGGTAATCATAGCGACGACACACTGCTGGACCCTTGGTCGCGGAGAATAAAACGATATTCGCGGATGGCGCGCCAACGGGTGAAGTAACGACGACAGCGTGTCCTTTTCTTTCGGGAGTGTATAGCCTGACGCCGGGGTTATGCTGCCTCCGACACACCGCAAGCGCAAGGCAACGCACCGCGCCGAGCAGCCAGCCGCCGCGCCGGCTTGGGTCCGTGGAGGATCGGGCGTGGCGGGGCGTGGCGCGGCGGGGGCCATGGCGGCCGGGGCACCACCGGGCACCACGGCACCACCACCGGCACCGGCGTCTCAGATGTCGAGTGCTCCTGGCGTGGCGGGGCGGGGCGCGGTGGAGCCATGGTGGAGCTGGAGCTGCGGGCCCCTCCTGTGGGGCCGGCAGGCAGGACCAGGCCTCCTGTGCGAACACAACCACCGCAGCCCGCCCCGCGGCCGGGGCGCGGTAGCAACGCCCCAGCAGATGTGGCCGGCGGGGCCAGGTGCTGCTGCTGCTGAGCCGGGGGGTCAGCGCGGGGCTCCCGCCCGGGCCCGGGCCCCGCTGCACCCACGGGCTGGGCAGGTGTGTGACGGCCGGCCCGGTGACGCGGCGCAGCATGCACGTCCGCGCCGTCCCCCCACCGGGGTAAGTGGAGCACGTACCAAAGCCGGGCCGAGTGTAGCGAGCGAAATGAAGGGGAAGTGGTGAGCTGCTGCAGTACTGCCACACCCCGCCACACCGCCAGCAAGTGGCGTACACAGCAGCAGCTCCAGCCTCGGCCTCCAGCAGCATCTCGTCCTCACCCGCCCGTCCGCACGTCGGCATCCGGATCATGCGATAGCCCCTCGGATAGCCCGTCGGATAGCCCGCGCGGCCCGGGGCGAGGGAGGCCCAATCATTAACATTGTAGTTTTAAGCACCCGAAAGGCAGGAATTATGGCACCTCATCAACTACGCTGCGGCTGTGGCCCCCGCCCCTACTGCTGCTCCCCGGCGCTGCCCCGCGCTGCCCTGCCCTTACACCTGAGCCATTAGGGAAGGCACGGGAAGGGCTCCCAGCCAGGGGGCTCCCAGCAGCACGGCGTCGGCAGGCCTAATAGCTCCCTGCAATCCAAGGAGATGTTGTTGGTGAGATTGGGAGGGGGCAGGGCGGGGCGGTGCTGCTGGCGGGGCCCACAACAACAACTCCGCCGTCATCATCTCTCTCTGCCCCGCCGCGCCCCGCCGCGCCCCGCGTGACCACGGTCGGCGACAGCAGCAATCAGACACTGTAGGAGTACCTCATCCTCGCGGGGCCTGCCGCCACCCGACCTCATCACCGCCCTAATCCTCGAGATACTGGCGTGTCCGAACATTCATTTAACTTTTGTCTTAGGCCATATAGTTTTCAATATTTGACCCACAAAAAACAAAAAAACAAGCAAAAAAAAAACAGTTTTCTGGCGCAAAAATGTAACTCGAAGCGTCCTAGGACGAGATAACTATCCCTCGCTACCCGCTGAAGCGTGTGGGGGGTGAATGTGTGGCCCCTGGACGGCACTGCCAATTCTGACGAGCGAAATTTATATGTAAGCTATTCATGACTATTCCTCTATTCCATTCGCTCACCCTCCACTGTACACTACATAGTGAAGCCGCAGTACTACACATTTGACTACCGGACATTTTGACTTAAAGTTCACTGCAAAAATTTGCAAAGGAAGGATGGACAATGGCGGAAACTGCTATCAACTTTCACAACTAAATGGAAAAACAGAAATCTTTTCAAAACAAGTATTTTATTTATTTTCTTTTACAAGGTAGGAACCAAGTCAATTTTGTGGCCCTTGCGATACTGCTTCTAAAAACCTTTCCCGCAGATTTGTAAGTCAATTTTTCCCGGGGAAAAACTTAAACTAAAGAAAACGCCAGCAATGGCATAACTTCAAACTAATAAATAAATTCAAACGACTTTGAGACATAGAATGAGATATGGAAGAATTACAACAAAAAGTACTCGTGAAAAATGACATTTAAAATTAATGGAATTAAGCTATTTCCGATCCGCGTATATTCAACGATGTTCATGCTGACGGTCACCACCACTCAAACGTGTTCCGGTTCAGACAGAATAACTGCGTGGGTCTCGAGATGACTATGCAAAGTGCTTTTTGATCTAAATTTCTTGTTGCAGATTGTGCACTCGAAAGGCGTCTCTTCTGTGTGGGTCCGCAGGTGACAGCGCAAGCCTTTACTAGAAGCAAATTTGCTGTCGCAGACCGTACATTTGAAGGGCTTCTCCTCTGTATGATTCCGGAAATGTACTTGCAAGTTTACTTTTTGTGAAAATTGCTTATTGCAGATTGTACAGTTGAAGGGCTTTTCTCCTGTGTGGGTCCGGAGATGAAGACGCATACTGCAACTTACAGTAAATTTCTTTTTGCAAGTTGTACACTCGAAAGGCTTCTCTCCCGTGTGGGTCCGGAGGTGCGTGCGCAATTGGCTGCTTGTAGTAAATTTCTTTTTGCAAATTGTACACTCGAAAGGCTTCTCTCCTGTGTGGGTCCGGAGGTGTGTGCGCAACTGTGTGCTACTTGTAAATTTCTTGTTGCAGACTGCACACTTGAAGGGCTTCTCTCCTGTGTGGGTCAGTACGTGTGTGAGCAGGGAGGACTTGGACGCAAATTTTTTGCGGCAAATTTCACACTCAAAGGGCTTCACTCCTGTGTGAGACCGGAGGTGTACGCGCAAATGGCTTCCTATTATAAATTTCTTGTTGCAGATCGTACATTCAAAGGGCTTCTCTCCTGTGTGGGTCCTCATATGTGTTGTCAGATGGTTATTTCGCCCAAACTTTTTCTCGCACATTTGACAGTCAAAGGGCTTCTCTCCGGTGTGGGTGCGGAGATGTTTGCGAAAACACGAACTTGTTTTAAATTTCTTGCTGCAGATTGTACATTCAAAGGGCCTCTCTTCTGTGTGGATCTGAAGGTGTGCATGCAAAGTGCTCTCGGCTGTAAATTTCTTGTTGCAGACCGGACAAGCAAAGGGCTTCTCTCCTGTGTGGATCCGAAGGTGTGTGCGCAAATAGGTACTTGATCTAAATTTCTTGTTGCAAATAGTACACTTGAAAGGCTTCTCTCCTGTGTGGGTCAGCATGTGAGTGGGCAGGGCGCTCTTCTGCACAAATTTTTTGTTGCAGATCGTACATTCAAAGGGCTTCTCTCCTGTGTGGATCCGGAGGTGATTGGGCAATTGGCTACTTGATGTAAATGTCTTGTTGCAAATTGTACATTCAAAGGGCTTCTCCCCTGTGTGGATCCGGAGGTGCGAGTGCAAATAGCCACTTGTAGTAAATTTCTTTTCGCAAATTGTACACTTGAAAGGCTTCTCTCCTGTGTGGGTCCGCAGATGTATGCGCAGACTAAGCTTATGCGCAAATTTGGAATGACAGATTTCACAGTCAAAGGGCTTCTCTCCTGTGTGCGTTCTCATGTGGATGGCGTATTGGCTTTTAGAAGGTAACTCCTTGGAGCACACGTCACACGAATATGCCATGGTGGTGTGTATATAGAATAGCACGACCTGAAGAGGGAAAGAACAGAAAACATATATTACAGTACAATTAATAATCTGAAAACTCAAAAGTGTCGCGTATGCTAAATTATCATCAATTATTGATGTACACTTCTTAGATCAGACAGCAATCATCGGTGCAAAATCCCACTATACTGACGCATCTTTGGCATTTTCCCAATATAGTACCGCGTTTAATGTGTGGTGCAGATTTCTATAGGAATGGGAAAATTCTGATACGCATCGGTACGTCATTCTGCGAGATTCCCCCCCC